GTGCCCAGGCCCTGACCCCTGGGGTTGATCCCAGCTCCCTACAGCAGCCCCGTGCAGGGTTATGGGAGACAAGTGACCACCAAACGGCCCCTGGAGAACACCTAGAGCTCAAGGTGGTGGAAAATCATCCATAGCCAGCTTTGGTGTGTGGAAGAGCCTCTCACATGGCAGGTAGGCACTGTGTTGCTGTGAAAAGGTGCTTTTATTGTGGGGTCTGACCCTCCACTATTCCTGGTACTGCCTGTATTTTGGGGGTGCTTCCCTCATTACTGGGCCCTGGCCATGGGGTTGGCACGGTTCCTGCTTGGTTGTGCTCCCTGTGCACCCTGTAACCCTGTTCAAACTGCCCCCGAGCTTTGAGATGGCTCAATTTGTTGTCTCTTAGTATTAGGTCTTTCAGCCATACTGCAAATAAACCTTGCAGGGAAATCAATATTTCTCACCCTTAGCACATTGATTTACACCACCTTTCCAATGATGACTTCTGTAACAAATCCAAAGCCCTTTTAAATACTTGTCTGAATGCAAATGTCTTCCATTTGCAAATAGCACAATAGGCGATGGTGGGGAATATATGGTCCTGAGCAAACTTGCAAGGGGGCAGCGCAGACTAGTGCAGGGCTGACTTTTGTGCTGTTGCATGCCTGTGCACATGTTTTACAGGGTGCAGTCCACAGTCTGTGAACAAGCAGGGAAACAGTGGGATGCTGCCTCAGCATGTGGCTTTAAATCGAACTAAGATGTGTGATAAATACATGGTGACAATAAATAAAATACAAGGTTGCAATCTTGAAGTATTCTACTTTAAGAGAAGAGGGAAGCTGTACACAAAGGTGTAGCACATGGCATGCCCTGCTTTTGAGTTGTTTCTAGATTGGTGCCAAGCAGCTGGGTGTCTTGAGTCTTTGTGTGTGTGTGTGTGTGTGTGTGTGTATATAAATACACACACATTATATATATGTAGCCTCAGTCAGATAGTTACAGTGCTAAAATATTGGCCTGTTAGCTAAAAGGGCTGCAGTTAAACTCCCTGATTCAGGGTCATTCCCAGGCAGGGGAAGAAGCTGCAGTAGTAGCTGGGGTCAGATCTGGAGCCACAGAGACAGACCTTGTCTTTGTATTAGAGTAATGTGCTTGATACTTGCCTGCACCCCAAAGCACTTCAGTGACTAGAGAGCCACCAGGATTGTGACTCTAAAAAGTATAAATTGTAATTTTATGAGTTGCATTAAATCAAGTAACTGCTGAGTTGCAGTAAATGCTGGTGTAAATGGCTGTCTCTTCATTTCAGAAAAATAAAGGATATGGCTGATCTCCTTGTTTGTGTGCTAAAAAATCCAGCAAAAGCATAAGCTGAAGTCACCAGTCAGAGGAAGTATAGAGGCTTCATGAGATGCTTTGCTGTGAAGGTTTGCGTGGCTCTGGCAGAATGGCATCAGATCATCTGAGAAAGATAGCAGACAGAAAAAGCACAGAGAAAAAAACACTGGCAGCGCAGTCCTGAGAAAATGCTGAATGCAGCTTTTTGCTGGCTAAAAAGGGGCTTGGAGATCTCTCCTGCTGTTTCGTTCCTGGTGTGTGAAGGGAAACAAGGCTTTGTACATAATTTAAAAGCAAACAGGATTGTGTCAAAGATGTCAGGCTCCACTAGTAATTATTTCTCCAGACTGGAATGACCCATGGGATTCAGAACTTTAGCCAGCTTTTCCGGGCAGGCAGATAATATCGTGATATGTCCTTATCTGATGGAAGTGGGTATCGCTCCCTGGATGTTATTATTGATACATGCCAGAGAAGCTGACAAAAATAAAATAGCAACTTCCATTGGAGTTGAAGCTGAGCAGTACATGAATTTAGATAGCTGCTTTAAGTTAGCTACTTGGTATATTAAGTACATCATTTTCTTGCTCCATTACTTCCACTGTAAAATAATCACTGACGAAGGCTGTGAATTAGAGATTGAAAAAATGCTTTTGAATCTTATACAGGTTGACTCAGACTGATTCCTTGTCTAAAAGGGTGGATTAGATAGTTCACAGATCTGCAGGGATTTCTGATACATACTCCATAGCTGCTTAAAAGCTGCATCCTGTCTATGAGCTCCCATTAGGATAGTTTCCACTATTTTCCAAGCTTCATCTTTGGTCAAATTGCAGGTCCTTGGGGAGGAAGGTGCAGAAGAGAACAATTTCTTATGTATTTATATGGTATCTTCTACTGTAGGACTCCAGTTCTAATTTGGATACTGCCACAGTATAAATAAGTCTTCCAAGTGTTGCTGTTTAAAATCTGTTTTGGAGATTGTGCAGAGTGACTGAATCCTACCACTGCATGCTAATTCACTGCAGCGTGGAAATTATCGTTGATCACTTGGTAGGATGGGCTCCTGGCTCATAGTAAGATCTGGGTATTCAGTGGAGTTGATTTGTTATTGTTCACTTTGAGTCCTTAGACTGGACCAGAGATGCAAAAGCAGGGTGCGGGCCTGGCTTTTCCCCCCAGGCCTGAGACTGTGTTGTGTGGTGTGGCCTTCTTGGATCCCCAGATGTCACTTGCAAAGTGACCTCCTGGGGTCTGAGTGTCTTGGATTCAGCAGAAGCAGAGGCCTGGGGTAGTTCAAGATGTCCTTCACAGGCAGGCACATCAGTGCATTTTTAGTACCTTTGGTTCAATATGCAAGGTTTGTTCCTTGAAAGAAGAAAAATACTGAGAGTTTGTAATTACTGTTTGAAATTTGGATAAAACTGGCACCTTTGATTTGAATCAAACCTCCTATGCAAGGACCTTTTCACACACAGATCAGCATGTTTTCCCATCAATTCTCAGACAAAGCATCACACAATTAAGGCATCTCTACCCTCATGGAAGAACAGTGCTGAAGTAATGGTAATTCCTTTGATCCATTAGCTGGGTTTATTGTGTACTTTTGATACTCTAGCCATAGTCTCATTTTTGTACTTCCCAAAACGTGGATTTTCCCAACAAAAAGCTATGCTTTACCAAAGATCTGCCGTGCAGCTGCCTCTGTCCTCTGGCTCATTTCTGAGTCCCAGTGAGTGCCTCGGAAAATGTAATACTTAAAATAGAACTGTTGTACGTGCATCAATCCATAGCGATTATATTTATAAGCTGCCACTGCTCTGGGCATGTACAAGGACAGGCGTGGCACTGAAATGACAAGGAAATGCTGCAGAGGCTTCTACGCGGGCAAACACCTCAAGTGTAACTTAGATTGGGAAATAGGCTTGTGCGTGATCGCTCTGCACTGACACCCATTGCGTGATTTGTCTCTTCTGTATTCGTGAAGGGCTCTCTCATTATGGCTACATCTCACATTTATTCTATTTCTAATTACGCTGATTTATGATTGGGTTTTAATTAACTCGTCTTGTCTGGAGCCTACCTATATACTTAATAGGTCCTTACCATCTAGGCCTAACTTCTTCTGGTAGAAGCTGGGCATGGTAATACATTTGTAGCCACAAGCTTTAATTAATAAAGGATTTGATCCGCTAACAGAGCAGTTGGTGAGGAAGATCTCCCCTTTGTGTTACAGAGGAGCCAAATGATTTGTGCAAGGTCTTTTTTTAGCCCAGGTCTTCTGATACTAAAGCAGCGCTGTGGGCCACTGCCTCTCATCCTCCCAGTTATAGATGCGTCGTGTTGCCCAGGTTGGCTTTGTGGCTGCTGATTTCCATCCTTGTGAAATCCCTCCCCTTAGCGAGGCCTCACATCTGACCTGACTTTGGAGGATGCTGAGACCCCCCCAGCAGACAGAATGGAAGATGACTGGTGGTGCAGGACTGCTGTTTAAGAGGTGATTCCCTGAGAGGCTGCCGTGCGTTTCAGTCTGCAGGAGTTGACTCAGAGGCTGATATTGCTGTTGACTCGCACGCAGTCCTGGCTGCAGGGATGTGTATCAATGCTACGAGTTAATTTCGATGTGACATCGAAGTTTTTAGTTTGGTATGACAGCCCCTCAATTTTCTAATAAATCCAGGTCAATGCTGGTCTTTTGTGAGATAATTAAGGTTGATCCATTCTGCAGGGCAAGCAGGAAGAAAATTCATTACTGTGTGGGGAGGTCAAAGAGGGCCAAGGTGGGGAAATGTGTGTCCTGAGCACTACTGTTTAGCACTGCATCCTAATTGATCAGTGAGCTATGTAAATGCTGAACAGGTCAGGCTGTGTGTTTTATAAAGTGTCAGAACTGATGAGGCTTTGCTTTGAAAAGTTACCTTGCTGTGCTGCATGCTGCTGAGAGGATAGGAAAATGGGGGGGTTGTTAAGTATCGTTCATTTTTAATTCATGGCAAGTTCTTTGTATGATCTTTGTGCAGCACTCGGTGTGCCGAGCATGGTGATCGCCCCTGTAACCAAACTGCTCGCAGCACAAATACGAGCATGGCCGCCAGCCCTTCCTGGCCCCCCTCACCTCCCTCGCTGCTAGGTGTGCACAGCGCAATCACGGAGCAGGGCAGTGATGGTTGCTTGTGATTGCAAACAGCATCGCTGCTTTGTAGGGGGATTTATTAGCTCGGGCTTAGGGTCAGGCAAGTTCAATTCCTTGCGCTGGAGCTGAAATTGAAGGCCGTGGAGGCCACCCGTTTCATACTCCCCTGGGTGCGGACTTCCCATCCCTGGGTTTTAAGGAGGGAAGCCTGATCCACGGCACGGTTTCCATCTTCTTTCCACCGGGGTTCCAGGATTGAGGGCAGTGTCCTCGTGAACGTGACTGCTCCGTACAGGAACACAAAATCGGGGCATCTAATGGCTGAGCCGGGTCCTTGTGTGACACTATCTGAGGTCCCAGCGATGCTGGGAGGGGGTGGTGTGCAGTAAATACAGGGCTTTGTTTGCAGGGCTTTGCTTTGCAGGATTGTGCTCAAGCCCCAGAGCTGGAGCGCTCCACCAGAACAAATTGCTCGGTGATGTTTCTATGTTTTTCATTTTACTATGTTTGGAGGAATGCCAATTTTTTTTTTTTCATTCACTCATAGTGAAAAAGTTATCAGAGCTCCGGGCTTTACAAAGCACAATGAGTTAGCGTCATCCAAGAAGGAGCCCTTCCTCTGAAGCAATCTACATATTCGCTAGAAGTGATGTGGGGACAAAATTCCTGCTTGTGACATTAATGCTTTTTCTGATATGCCCTTCAACACTACTGCCCATTGACACTAGAGCTGGAAAAAATTGTTTTGCACAAAGAGAGAGGCAAGAAGTGGATCTCTAGTTATGAATTCTCTCAAAGAGCAGAAGCAAACCACCCAGGGTTGTTTTTAAGTATCAAACAATGGAAAACAGCACCCAGCCTCAGACAACGTGCTTCTGTTCCTGGTACTAAAATCATTAAGGTAAACTCATCGTGTCTTTCCTTTGTGAGAAGACTGGAACAACATCAACAACAAAATACATTTCATAGGATGCTTGAAGTTTTTGGCTTTTTCCAGAGAATTCTTTTGGTGCTGCCTCTCAGACCCTTGAACTGCAGCGTTTGAAAGAGCAAGCAGCAGGCTGCCGTGCAAGCAGCGCTGTGCTCTGGTCTCACTATGGAGAACAAGAAATCTCCTCTGATCCTAGGACAGGAGGTTGAGGCTCTCACAGGAGAAGCAGCTTGGCTGGTGCAGCTTCGTGAGATGAAAACTGAGTGATCGCTGGCTGTAAAAACAGGGGGTAGGTAGCAGGAAGAAGAGCTTAGTTAACCTGTGCTGGCTTCTATATCTGTAAGCCTGCCCAGTGCTTTCCCATTGCATAGGGTGATCTAATGAAAGATATTACATCTCCCTGCAGATTTTGCCTTTCTTATACTCTTAGACAACAGTAGCTGCGGCAGCTCTATGCTTGGCACTGAAATGCTTCAGTCTGGCTGAGAACAAATTTAGTTTGGGCACGAAGAGGTCTCCAAGTACGAGAGCTACGGGGATTTGGAAAGATCTTGCCATAAGTATAATGTAGATGAGGCACCTGAAGTAGCCCTAAATTGGCATCTGATTAGTATCTGAAGGGTTGCATGACATGGAGCACGATGGCCGAGTTGTGCTGGCTCGAGAGATCCTCTGCAGCTCTACGGGACCGCGAGCTGAAGCGAAGAGACGGTGTGTAACAGCAGTGAGGTGGGAAAAATCTGCGTGAGGAACATCAGGAGATCTGCTATCCAATGGTTTCTAGTTAATTATTCATAGTAATCCAAGTACTGCTTACTGTATCTTGTACTGCTTTACAGTGTTCTCCTCTGTGTATTGAATGTCTGATGTACTGAGGAACTGTGTGCCTTGGAGTTGTGTCGGAACAATGAACGTATTCATCGGCTTCCCTGTAAAGCAGCTGTAAGATCTTGCTGAGGAGGGCTTCTGCAGAGAGCTGAGCTGGGGGATGAAGGGGAATGTAAGAGAATTAGAAATGAGATTGGGCCATGCAGGCCATGGCATGGGGTTGGCTGTTTTGTTCTCCCGCTTTGCGTGCTTTGGACTTAGAAAAAGCATTTCAAAAAGTCAGTGCCCATACCTAGGGTAAGGTTTTGGCTCCCGCTTAAGCGTTGTGTGAAGGAGCCAAGGGCATGAAGGGAGCACTGTGCTCAGCGCTTCCTTGGATCTGCCAGGAAGAAAAGCTGTCCGGCATGGTAGCCCAGAGGAATGCAGTGCAGACGAGGGCTGTGCCCTTCGTAGCTCCCTGATGCCTGCAGGGAGAGGGGGACTGGCTGCAGGCGTTTTGTGTAGTTACAGTACATGGGAAGTGTGGTGTTATCAGTTCTGTCAGTCTCTTAATAGGGCTGGACAGGGACTGGCACGATGCAGGGCAGTTCAGCATGAGAGGATTGATCTGAGTTGCCAAATTTTTCCCCAGGATAAGCAACCAGGGGACAACAGAAGGTTTCTGGAACTTAACCTCTGCCATCGACATCACTGAAAGTACCAGGAAAACCCCTCAACCTTCGCCTGCACTGCAGTGAGATTTGTCTTAAAGAAAATACTCCGGAGTCTCGATATATACGGTTCACTCTGATGCAAAATACTTTATGCAAGTACATATAAAACCACAGAGTTACATTCTTCCTTGAAATCTCATCTATAGAGGGAGGCTGCAATGGAGGGGCTGATGAAATGGGAGCTAACAAAGGATGAAGACATCACTACCTGAGCCTCCCTGGAGGAGGATGTGCTTGGAGCACCAAGCAAACAAAACCCTTCCCATGTACTGTATGGTCCTGAACTCCGAACTTGGGCTGCTCTTTCTGGTAGCTTGAACGTTCACCCCTTTTAATGGGATTTTTACCCCTGAAGCACCAGGAATTGCATAGCAATACTCGTTTGAGCTGCTGCTTACTGCTAGTAGTTAGGAAGCCACTGCAGACAACTGGATGCACACAGGATAACGTTCTTCACTGTCCTCAGTTATCATCCTTCCCATGGTGTAAATGCATCTGAAGGGTGTGATTTCCATTTAGAGTACATTGTGGAACCAGGTCAAACATGAGATTTTTTTTTTTTTTTACCTGCCCAGTAACCTGACAGATCATATAGTTTGATTCCTGTGAAATTATCTGAGTAGATGCAGTGCTCTTCAAAAGCAGAGCATTAGGAATTATTTAGACAAAGAAGCAGATAGGTACACTAAAACACAGGCTCGGGTAAGCAACTATTCTTATCACTTACAGGGAAAATTAAATTAATGGGGAAAGAGTTACTTATTTGACTCCGAATGTGGGAATTATTACTAATTGCACGAGTAATTCCTTGGTAATGATGCTGTAATGATTCTTTCTATTACAAGTGGTAATGCTGTCATTACTACATTACTCAAACTCAAATCCGTGGGGAAGCTCTGTAGGGTGAGCAGTGATTGAAGGTTCCACATTAAAATAATTACCCTCAATCTGAAATTTCGAATGTACATGATGGATATCTAATGTTCACTGGATTTCTTAAGGCTCCTCTTCTGCAATATTTCTCTTATCTGCACTGGGCTCTGGTTATTTTGTTCTTTTTAGGCTAGTTAATTTTTCAAGACGTGTTTAAGGATGGTATTCAGAAAATGAAGTGTTTTAGCGTTGTTAGAATGGTGACAACCGATAAATGAGCAGCTTATATCTTATCTATAGTGTTGTGTAGGGAAAAATGTAGCCTTCCTTATCCAGGGTTTTTCTGTTCCTGACGCCTTTTTGAGATAGGATTTCAGCGTCTTGGCTGAAATGCGCAGTGGCAATGTGAGAAGCACGACGCAGATAAGTGTCACAAACGCTAATCCAGGACTCATTTTGATTCTGAAACCCCTGATTAGGGAGTGAACGTGAGAGCTATGGAGTTGGGCTTCCACACAGGCTTCCCCTCTGCTTTTGTGCCTGTCTCAGTAACCCAGCGGCACCTTCAGAAATTCCTAAATAAGGTAGGACAAGCCCTTTTGCTGGGAAGTAGTATTGTATTAATTCTCACAGAGGTGAGGAACATTCTCAATCCAGTATTTTAACAAGCATCTTCTTTATTTCTTTTAAGAGTCAGTTCTTTCTCAGCCAGAATGAGGAACATGGTCGCCCTGTACAGATATGCCTTGGTGTAGTAGAGGCCGGAGAATGTCACTGAAACGGTGAGAAAATAAGGTGCTTCCCACCCCAGAAATGCAAAAAAAAATAAAAAATTCTCTGCGGTGTTTCTGGTAGCAAGTGGGAGCTGAGCTGTTGCTGTGCCCTGCCCTTGGGTGCCTTTTAGTGGAAGGCCGTGCTGACATAGATGCTAAATGCTCATGGTCAAGGACTGCAGGAAAAATTCTGAAGGAGGGGCTTATTCTGGCTTTTCTGTACCAAATGGTGGGAAAGGAATCCCCACTGACTATTTTGGTTGACCTAGCTGGATAGAAATTAGGTTGCCCTAGACAAACACAACTCGCTTCAACCTGGAGGTGAAGTGTGGGGGGAGTCGGACTGCATTTGGCTCTGGAAGCACTTACAGAGCTTCTGAGCTCTGTTCTTCATGAGGTCCTAAACAGGGACTGCTTGCTGGGACCACCGAGGGGGACTCGAGAGCTAAGTGAGGGTTTCTCCCCAGCACCGAACCTCAGTGACAGTCCTACTGCTGTGCTGAGCTTGTGCCACCTAACAGAGCTCGGGGGCTGGCGGGGATTCTCCTCCAGCAGCCAGTTTTAGTCTTTATACTTCATGCATATTCTGTGGAGAAGAGCGCAGAATGTGATTTCTCTTTTTAAGTATAATTTTGAACATATTAATGATATTGGCAATTACTCAGAGAAAAACACGTAATCAATGCTTGTTAGCCTGGGAGGTGATAAATTTTAAAAATACAATCTGTGCTCGCCTGGAATTTATTGCTTCAGGCAAGGTGATAGCTTCAGCACTGCCATTTCCAAAGAGTGCTGTGCATTTATTTTCTCATTAGCATCTACTTTCTATTGTATATTTTGAACAAAGGTAACCTTGGAGTAGGAACACATTCCTTGCTGTCAGGAAGAACTTGTGATGCTGTTTCAAAGGTGCATGCATGATTGAGCAGCAATACATCACAAGGAGCCCTGCAAAGAAGATAATTCTCCATGGGCTGTAGAAGAAGAAAAGAAATTCTTATTTTTTTTTTTATATTTTAGCTTACTGTGCTCCGTGGGAGGGGGGAGGGTTAATATATGTGTGTTGTGACAAGCTCTTTCAGATGGCGAGGAGACTGTTTGTCAACTCATAACTATCATTCTCCAAAATAGCAGAGATTCAGCAATTTGCATTTTAGCAGGTTTTGATAAAAATCTTTTAAAATGAGGGAGATTGTTGTCAGTGCAATTCCTTTAAAAAGCAGAAAAATCAGGGTGATTGTAATAGTTCAAGAGGAATTTGAAACAGTGACTCCTAACTTTCCACTGAAGGATCTACCGTGTATTACAACACTCCTGGTATTTCCCTGGCATGTAAAACACGTGGTGATCTGCCTGTCAGTGAATGCAAGTGAGAGACCTGGAAATGGCCTGGTTTGAAAACCTCTGCATCCTGGTAGCACCTCAGAACATCAGGGCCACCCCAGGAAGGTAGCCAGGGGTGGTCCTGCAGCTTGGACCAGAGGTAGGAAAAGAAGCAGCCTCGGAGGCACAGGAGAGACCCAGCAACTCCAGGCTCAGCTAGAACAGCTTAGAGGAAGAACACGGGAGGCAGAGCCAGGGATCGACCAGGATGCTAAATAATCCCAGAGCCCTCATTTTGCAGAACACAAGCCAAGATTTTTAAGCACTGCTTAACTCCATCCCAGTCTGCTCCAGCAGAGCTGTGCCCCCACACCTGCGGGAGCACAGCCCCAGAGGAGTCTTTTCTGCTGCAAAGCCACCGCTAGCTGCAAAACCTCTCGTGTCTGCGAAGTTTGTCAGTGTAGGGCCAGCTGTCTGTGGTGCTGTCAGGAGTTTGACTTGACGTGCCATCTCTGCAGCTGACGGTGCCATCTGCACTCGCGCTCCGGGTGCACCCGCAGCGGCCTCCCGGAGATCAGCCGAGCTGCCTTCAGAAAGCAAAGAGAAGCACGGATGATGAACCGTGGAAAGAAAACGGCGTTTCTTCAGCTCGCTGCTCGGGGTGGATTTTAATGGCAGATTAAAAGGCTCTGTCCGTGCTGAGGCCGCTGTGTGCTGAGCGTTCGGCTGCGCACCAACAAGCTGCTCGGGCTCATCCCGCTGCAAAGTGTGCCTGGGGAATTCCAGAGATATTAAGGAGCTGCACCGGCCAGAGCAGCTGGATCGGGGCTTTCAGCTCACAGTGTGTTGGCCCTTGCTCTTGTGCTTTTCTGATGATGGGAATAGGACAGGGAGTCCTGGGGTTCCTCACTTTTGGGATTTTTCTGTGATAGCAAGCTTGTATCCGCAGCTTTTCTAAGAAACAAGAGTCACAAGAACTTCAGTGGAAGCTGGGATGTTCAGTCCTATGCCAGGTCGATCCTACAGGGTAAACCTCTATCAGAAGAGTTACTGGTTTGAGGATAAACGTCTGGCGTGAGGCGCTGTGTGATCACAGAACAAAAAGATGGCTCTTGGCTTGGAGAGCGCCAGCTCCGCACAGCTACAGCTGTTCTAGCTGAAAAGCTCATATTAAACGCGATGTCTGTTTCTACTCATAAAGCTTGATGGTTTTTTGAGCAGCACAAACTTTAATGTGTGTGAAAGTGCCTGAAGTTGGTAATAATGATGAAATGCAAAGAATCGTCCAAAATTTCTCTGTTTACTTCTATAATAAAAACAGCTTTATTCAGTAGTTCGTGCATGGGGTATTCGCAATTTTTAACTGACAACAGAAATCCCCATATGGCTCAGAAAAGTGTTGGCATGCACTTGTGTGAAGTTTGTTAAAACTGCCTGACAGACGTTGTTTTTTTAAAGAATTCTTTTCCTTTCAAACAAGTTTCTTCTGTGGTTTATAAGTGAAGTTTAAAAAGCTAATTGGCCAAGGATATAATTAGATTTATGCTTATGTGGGATAGTCTTGTAGAAGCAGTCTCTAGAAGGACTCTGGGCCTGAAACTGAAGCTTGTCTCAATGTCATGATTAAAAAAATATATAAAAATATTGCCATCAGCTGAAAGTGACAATTTCAGTTGTACCAGGAGGTTCTCAGTATCTGAGCCAGAGCCCAGAGCTGATCTGGTGCCCTTATTTACCACTCACTTTGTCAAGTCTTCTGCCTCCCTCCTCTCCTGGGGGTGACACTGATCACTAAAATCATCAGCTCGGCTCGTGGTGTTTGTAGGATTAAGAAGGTTAAACCAACATTTGGTCACTCGCTGAAGACAGATGATGTGTTGCTGTTAACAAGTGCATTCAGCCATCATGTTCTTTCTGACTCTTGAATCAGTCACATCTTTAAGAGTAGCAGCAAATGATTTATTTAGGAGATAAGAATCTTCACAAGCAGCCTAATTTTTTTGAGGGATTTTAAATTCTCTCCTTCCCTTTACAGAAAAAAAAAAAAGTTTCAAAGGAACATCTTGGAGTCTTTTTGCATTTGTTTCTTTGTAAAGTCAAAGATGAACAAAAGGTTGCTGAAGGCATCCTGCAGAAGCAAAACCAGTCAAATCAGGCCAAGTTGTTTTTTTTTTTTCTTGGCTTTCTGTTAGGTGTCTTATGACATTGGGCTTTCTACGTAGTAGCTTATTTTTGCCATTCAATCATGTGCAGCATGCACAAACACGACTTCCCTGCGCAACCTTTCTGTGCTGATTTAAGCCTCGCTTTAAAAACCCAGCCAGGGTATTTCTTCCTTAGAGAACAATAAATACGAAACGGAGAGCAGGAACCTCGACTTCATTTCTGCAGTGATTTTGTTTCTGAGAATCTCTGGGCCATAGCTTGTGAGTGGAAAACGTACAAATGTAGCACGTGGAGGTCCCCTGGGCTTCCAGTGCATGCAACAGGACAGAAAGGTTCCCTTCCTCAAAGCTTAATAGAAATTATTGCAGGGCTATCCTGCAACGTTGGTAGTGGGAATTGTGTGCTCTCTTCTTATTCCTGAGTAGGACAAAGATGAAGGAAAATAAGGAGGGAAGATGTGCTGCACAGGACGGCTGGCAGCCTGTGAAGCTGAGATGTGATCTGCAGCCGTGGTGATGGTTTGGCTCAGCCCGCGTGCTTTCTGTGCCCATCTCAAAAAGAAATTGCCTTCAAAAATGTAAGTGGCTTACCGCATCCCTTTCATTAGGGAGGCAGTGTAATGTGATGCAGAGATGCTGAATGTACAACGAAATCTGCTCAGTGATGGAGCTACACACGTCTGCATGTTGTCCCTCCGGCTGGGACCCAGGGGCTGCCGTTCTGAAGGCCGTCCCTGTGTGCACGCTCTGTGGGGTTTTTCTGCAGCTCAACCACCTCCTGAGTTCTCCGGCCACTCACCTTTCCTCCAAGCTCATTCACTGTCTGCAGATTGCTGGGTCTCGAGCTTTTTTCCCTTTGTCTGGATCGCTCCATGGCTGAGGTATGGCTGGGCTCTCCCAGGAAAGCACAAACGTTATTTCGTTCATCCTGGACTTGTAACGGCGTTTCCCACTTGTGCTATAACTTGTTAGGCCTCCCCTTATGCTCTACCTGCCTCGCTGTTATCACACATCAAAGATACGGGCCGGGTGCTGCCTAAATACAAGGCAAGCTCCAGCGTATTTCTGTGTAAAGTGCCAGGGGCCAAGTTCTCCCCTCAGACTCCATGCGAGGCTCCTCTTTGATCTGACAGGAGCTGCGTGCACAGCTCCTGGGGGCACGGATCAGCTTACGTGTGGTTTCCCTCCTCTCCCTCCCAATTATTACAGGAAGCAGCAGCTTTTACAGTGTAAATGAGACATTTGAAAGCAGCTGTTGTCAAAAGTTTCCTTCTAATTCAATAACTCACATTAAGAAGCTGCCCCTCGTTAGGCACACGCTGTTATTTAGCGCGTGGAGGTACCAACCAAGAGCAGGTATCCTCTGTCCCTAATATTGATACGTTTGGGTAATCAGAGCTCATCTCTACCCTGAATAATTTATAGTTGGAGCTCGTCTGCAAAACTAGGAGGGAGCTTCTTGAACAGGAATTTTCCACTTGTCAAATCTGAGTGGTTTTGTGGAAAACGACCTGACTTCCCAGGCTCCTGACGGAGCTTCTGCATGTCTGAATGGTCACCATCTCCTGCTTGCTTGGAAGCCCTCATCTCTCCAAAATGCCATTTCGAATTGAATAAATGGTGTGGGGCTTAAATTTCATAAAAAGGCTGTAGGTTTTGTCCAAAAATGTTTCTGGATTTTTTTTTTTCTGCAACCAAAGACCGATTTCCTATGAAGCTCTCCTTTTTGTCTAATAGAAAAGATGGAGGAAATATTCCTTCAAGAGCAAGCTGACTAAATGACTTCCCTGGGGTCCCACACATGCTCCGGGGCAGAAGCTGAACTGAACTCAGCGCTCCTCAGCGTTAGGAGGGCCTTAACCACAGAGCGATCTTTGTCTCATTATGTTAACATGATCTCAGCTAAATGCTGACTGACTTAAGTCTGTGAAGATAAAAGCAAAGCTCTAGCTCAAAAATGAAATAAAATGCTGGAATCAGTTCAGTACTGGTGAATTATTAATATTAACCATTTAAAGGAAAAAATCACCAGTTTAGAGGAGTGGCTTTAAAAAAAGTGCTTTTCAAAGGACAAATGTTTATATTGATGTGGGTTTTTTCCCCCTTTATCCATTCAATAACCAGACTGCAGGGAATAATTTCTCTGAAAGCTACTTTGACTCTTTCTCTGAGTTCTTTACCTATAATTTGCTAATGAATTTCAGCTTGAGTGCAGTTAAAATGTAAGAGCTTGACTAGGGAATGGATTCAGAATAATCATTTTCCTTCTTCCTGGTCCTTCTCTAGGCTCTTGTTAAGAAATGTTTGAATGCACTGAAGTGTTAAGAGCCTGATAGCTTGTTAGGATAGCAGAGAGGCTGCAGTTTGAGGGGAGGCAGAGAAGAAAGCAAGGAAGGAATCGGAAGAAACTTCCTTTGCGAGGAAGATTAAAAGCATTTCAAACTGAGAAAGAAGTCTGCTTTCAGATCTTCCAGCTCCATGCTTTAAAATCAAATGAGCTAGAAAATTTGTTTGGCTGCTGCAATGAGCATCAGTCTTTGTACTGGACCTGGACCTGGTGCACACATGCATGTGCCCAGGCTGATTGCAACCCACTGCAGCAAGTGAGTCCTGAGCGAGATAAGAAACCCACCCGTGGTAAATTTACAGCAGTTCCATGCTGAATGCACGCTAAAAAACACCCAGCAGTTTCAAATTTCTTGCTCGCTACCCATTGCTCAGCTCTGGTTGGGAATCTTTAGGGCTGGCTTCTCCTGGTGCTTCTGCTTTTTAATACCACACGTCCCCTGCAGTCTTCTCACGTGCTATAACCTGTGGTATCAGATCAACTTAAAACAAGAAGGGCAAAGCCAGCCAGCAGCCAGTTTTGAAGCAAGGGTGATATCGTCGTTGTGGAGCTTGCTGGCTTGGGTAAGGGGTCAGTTTGTGTCACCTCTAGGAGCAAGCAGCTGTGCTCTGCAGGGCACAGCCCGGGGTAAAGCAGAGCACAAGCACAAAGCCTGCAGCGGCGGTCACAGTAACTGCAGGGACAGGGACAAACATCGACCACAAGCTTTCACTGCTGGACATCTCAAAAGACAGGTAGCAATGTTTGCCTACCAGGCCTGATTCAAGCGCACATGGTTGGGATGTCTGCGGGTTTGTTTGCCACTTAAGAAGGACTGGGGCAGGCTCTCCCTGGGTCCAACCCTGCTGGCAAATAGGAAAGAAAAGGTAGCGTGGCACAAGGGGCGATGCATGTCAGAGCAGAAGCAAGGCAGAGAGCAGGACTTTGGTGCTGACCTCCCAGCTGTGTGCTGTAACTCCATCCCCAGAACTTGTTGGCTGCCCCAGGAAGCGGGGTTAACAAGGAAGATTTGCTTCCTGTGAAGGGTCTTAGTTTTTGTGGATTTATTGCGGGCCAGCAGGACGATCTGTGGAGCAGAGCTGTCCTGCCTCTGGCAGGGTGGTAACATACCTCTCATTTTTGCTTAACCAGGCCTGTGTGAGTGCTGTGTTAGTTCATGTAATCATTGACAGACATGGAGATCAAGAGCGTTCAATTAGATTACGTGTGATTAGAGACACTTGCACTTAGTGAGGATGGATTAAGATAGGTTTAAGAGTTCAGCACTGAAGTGGTCTAAAATATTTGTGAAGCGCAGCCTTAGCCATTCAGCTGGGAGATTTTGGGAGCCCGAGGAGCCCGGGTTTCGTTTCATAACAGCACACAGATGGGAAAGGCTGTTTGCAGATGTCTTGTCTTCTGTGGAAGGGACTTAGTGGGAGTGTTTGTCTGGGACTTTTAGTATTATTCAGACACAATTCTGGTTTAGTAGGGATTGTAAGTGAGAAGTTTACCCCAGTTGTACTCCAGTTTATGTTCCAAGTTTACTTGCACAAGTGCAGTACAGGTGGAGCAAACGCTGCTGAGCTCCTGCACAGTGTGGGGATGCAGCTGGGAGAGGGACTGAGACTTTTTGCTTTGAACCCAGGCCCTCAAATGAGGATACCCCAAACTCTTAAGTCTGTAAAACCCTGATTGCCTGGCTGATGTGCACCTTGGTAGGCAGGTATCCAGAAGTCCAGGGATTTAAACAATAGCCTGGTATGGATTAGTGGGGTTGGCTTTGGAAATCATACTTGTATATTTTCAGGGCTGAATTAAGCTACTTAAATCACCAAGGATATTTAAAATCCTCAAATTTTCTTTCCTTACATTCTAGTTGGGTTGAAATAAAGACGTGAGGGACAATCTGTCAGATCTCCAACAGGCTGTTCACCTACAAATCGTCCTTTTTATTTTTAAAAGTGCACTTAATGGCACCAGTGCCTCCAAATCACTTTGGCAAGTTTGAATAATGCCTTCCCTAAAATTGTCCCATGTTCAGCCAAACGTGTTGAATTGAATTTGGATACTAAGATGCCAGATTGCCCAACTAGGGTGCGTAGGTACCCTGGCTTGAAAGTTGGCTTCTTGTTACTATCACATGTATTTTTCACCTTGGGAACAAAAAATATATATTGCTGGCTTGTTCATATGTCATCTCAGCTGGTCTCTGTATGGTTGCTACAGTGCTGCAAACACTGGGCTGGGCATTAGGAGAAGCAATTCTCTGCTGCTACTGTCGTGGTTGAGAAAGCAAGTAATCCCTCGTGGAGTGTGAGCACGTACTTCTTAGCACACAACTGAAAATAGCTTTATCCAAATTCTCAATTAAAACAAACTCAACCCTAGCCTTAAATTTGAAAGTCTATTCACTGGCAAAACTCATTAACTTATCAGTTTGTTCAACATTTCCAGGACTCAGCTCACATCTCCAGAAAAGACAATGCAAAATGCGGAGTTTTAGCAAAGTCGTAAGAGAGGTGGAAGCCCTTCTTTCTCTTGCTAATGTGCTTCCAGCACTGTTTTGCATCCTTATGACTCTGGGGAGCAAAGTCTGCAAAGAACATGATTAAGCATTATCATCATGATTTCAGAAGCCCTTCTGTTACACCAAGTAATAATTCATTTTCCACCGTTGTGCACACTGATATTACTGGCGGAGCTATAAGCTAGACCCTGGCACTTGGACAAAAGGTGGAGAGAAGCCATAAACTAGCAGTAACCATTGTCAGGAACCATGCTTTTTTTTCCACTCCTGACTTTTATACTCAGTGAAGCTAAATAGCCCCATGGACTGGAATTACAAGCCTGCCGTAGGTTTGGCAATGTGGGTGAAAGAAAGCTGTTCTGTTACTCCAAGGCATTTTGGTTTATGGTTATGGTTTTCTGTGGGTTTGTAAGACAATCTTATGTTTTCCTGGAGGCACCATTTTAATTTTGAGGGCAAATCATGACCAGTGTTGGATTCATGTGTTTAATGAGCTTGCTCTAGGTAGAAGTTGCTCTCTGTTAATTAAAGCATTCACTTGGTCTCCAAATTAAAGCCCTGTCTGGAAGCAGGGGAGCAGCAGCCCCTGGGTGTGGATGTGAGAGGGCAGCTGAGGTTGGCAGGAGAGCAGAGTGTTGGGGTAAAAAGAGGTCCGCGAACCCTGATTCTTTTTATCCCTGTCTTTTCCTTCCTATATAGCCACCTCGTGCCATAAAGTGATGGCTGTGATGTCGGCTGAGGAGTTATTGCAAGGAGCTCTCGCTGCTTGTAGCCCTAGATGCAGAACTGGAGACCGAGCCTCCTTTCCCCAAGCAGGGAAGAATGTTTTCATTACTATGGTAATTCAGTCTGTCCTGTGATAGTGATACTTTAATTGCTCCTCTGTTTTCCTCAGACATAATCCAATTCCCTTTGGCCTCCTAGTTTATCCACACATTAATTGGGTTATTGCCTTGGAAAACAGAAGGGCAAATATATCGCTTAAGTTTTATCACAGACAATTAATAAGCATGACTGAGATTTTTAAAGTGCCCTAATGCAATTAGGTGTCGGGCTCCCAGGAGTTTCAGTGGGATCTGGGTGCCTCCTTCCATGACACAAAATTGGAAATTCACATCCCAGGTGCATAAGGAAAACTGTATTTCTTTCCCATGTATTGAACACTTCAGAGATTCTCCTTTTCAACCTGAATTCCTGATTCTGCAGTCTTTAATCTTGTAAATCTGGTTTATGATTTAACTTAGCAAAATTCCTTTTGATTTTCTTGATTAAGGATCGCAGGGTCAAAGCCTTTGAAGTACAACTGAAGGCATCAAAGCATAAAGAAGGGGGACTGGGGAACTGGTAATGGGACAAACAGCTTTTCTCAGTCAGGACTAAAGTCCATGTTGGAAGTGACTCCACGCTTGCTCAGCCTTGTGGCTGTGGGACAAGAGACCATGCCTGGAGATCTACTGGGGGGCTGAGTGACAGCCTTGTTCAGCAAACCCCAAAAGCCCCGAAGCTGTGCCATGTCCCATATGCTGTCCGCTGGAGCAACAAGGAACAAATCACCACCACTGCTGCAGAGCCTTCGTAAAGGGAATGCGTGTGTTGAACTAAGCCCTCTGTTGTTATTTATTTGGGGTGTGAATCAACCAGCACAAAAGCCAATAGAGCGTGATCAAATGATGCATACTAGCGATAAGAATATATTAAGTCACGCAATATCTCTTCCATACCAGTAGAAATATTGCAACCATGCCCTACCCATGTTGTGTCTGTGTGGCAGCAACAATGAATTTTCTTTGAGCTAGCAAGGCAGAAACAAGAGCTGCCGAAGCTCCACGCGCCTTGTACTCGCTCTTCCTATAAAACTTGCAGTGAATAAAACTGACAGGGATCACTTTGCTTTAAGTGGTTTTCAGATAAAAACGCTTTCCACCCAACCTTACGTACTCCAGGTATTATAATGGCTAGAGAAAAGGATACGTTTCATGGAGCATTTGGGGAGTTGCTAAAATTGAAGCTGAGAGCTGGGGCCGGGTACTCCTGCAGCATCGCTTGGGCAGGGAGTGAAGGAAGACGCAGGGCTGAGCTGGGTCCGTGGGCACGACTTTGGTGAATGCCGGGCAAGATGTGTGTAAATGCACTGCTAGATTACTGTGAGAGTTTCCCTTGACCTGTATTTACCACGTTGTACGTAGTAAACCTTTTTTGGGGGAGAAGCAAGTCCCTCACACTAAAGGTTCAGGAACGTGCCAGGACGGCGTGCTGCCCTGCGCCCATCCCATGGAGGGTCTTCACTTCTCATCCCAACGAGGCTGGCGTTGGCTGCTGTAGGATATGGGTTTGGTTAAACCATGAAAACCCAAACTAAAGAAAGAGTTGGGTTTAGTCCAAAATTATTTTCTTTATTGGAACCTGTCTCATGTCAAGTAATTTATGGGTTTCAAATCAGTACCGAGTATGTGAATCTGGGCTTTTCTTGAAGTACCATGTTACAAACCTTGATGGATGGAGAAACAGTGAGCTTACCGGTCCACTTGGCTGCTTCATGGAGCCGGGCAAAGCATTCGCTTTGGTCTCTGACTCTTCCATGGGAATGCAAGTTGCTGTGACCATCATAAATATCATACTGAAATCTACAGACATGCTTGGTGTGTTGTCTGCAGTTCTTCCACTTCCAGGAAACACCTTTAAATTAAAGAGAAAAACTCTGTGTAATTAAACAAAGCAAAATGCTGTGGTGGGGGATGTGGCATCCAGCTGTGACCGTGCTAAATACTGATGTTTCCCTTCTCCCAGAACAAATTAAAGGAGTCACAGTCTTGTTGCAGCTCAGCGAGGGGTTTCCCAAGATCACTTTACCGCTTCACCATCACCACTGCTGGCTGCGTTCAGCTTGTACAGAGGGAAGTTCAGCTGCCTGGGCTGTACTCGTGGAGCACCTGAACCAGCTTGGGAGCACCTGAACCAGCAAGGAGCTGGAATGGAGCCGTGCCAGTGTGTCTGGGAGCTCGGGCTGAGCCCTTCCAGGGCATCGCTCTTCCTGCTGGAGGCCTGACGGTGCTTGTGCCGCTACTCAGCTGCCTTCCGAAGCCACCAGTTTGTAGGACCGAGCGGTGAGTTCTCCCTGGGGAAAAGTTCCCTGCCATTGCATTTGGAAAATCATAAAAATGGAACAAGGAGATTCTCTGTAGCGGTGGATTTGGAAAAGTGGAAAATGACTGCAGCAGTTTTTTGTTAAACGCACACTGCCATGACTGGAGGGGGGCTGCTGCTGCTAAATTTGGGGCGGATTAAAGCTCCCTTGTAGTATAGGGCAGAGTATTTTCATTTGGAGCTTGGAGCCCATCCAAACTGGAAATGTAGAAATACAGAACAAGCCGTGATTCTAACAACTGCTAGAGTCTATCCTCTCATCCATTCTCCCTGTACAAAACAAACAAACAAATGCAAATTTTTGTCTCCTGACTGACTCTTGCTTCCCTTTTTGGCTGCGCGGTCATTTCAGGTAAATGCTATCAGAGAAGCTGGTTCTATTCTTGTAAACTTAAAAGCTCAGGAACTCGTTTTATGGGACTCCTTTCTTATTTCAGCCTTCATAGTTTTCACAAAGGCCAGTACATACTTGCTGTTATTTTTGTTTTTTATTTTAGCAATGAAAAGATCTTAAATAATGTCTTTTATAGCCTCATCATCTTTATTTGTTTTTGGGCTTTGTTGATACATTTCAGGGTTTATTAGCTACGTGTACGGAAAACCCCCTAAATCCTATAATCTGCAGTATCTTTATTCAGGTTGTTGGGTTGATTGCACTTTACAAGACTTGGTGACATTTTAAGTACTTCATTGAAACTGCAGCTATAATAAGATTATTACTAGGTTATTGATGTTAAATATAATAATAGCCACAAGGTTTTGAAATTGTTGTATGCATTAGAAATGTGATAAAATGTATTATTGATTACGGTGGAATTTATTCACAGTTCTTTATGGCAGCCTACCCATTTGAACTGGGAGAACCCTGATGATCTTGCTGAGAAGCTGAGCTCCCAGCAGTTTTGCAGCAACAGACACCAGCCAAAATAGGGAAATGAAAATATTGTTTGGGTCGGTAGCTGATCTCTTCATGTGTATGGGGGAGGTGGGCTCCAGATTGAGAAAAGCAGAGAGCACAGCGCTGATTTCTTCAAACTGTTTCCCAAAGACCGAGGCGTTGTGGGGAGCTGGGTGTTCTCCCCAGGTGACTTTCCCGGTCTGCTCGTTGAGCTGTTAGCTTGGCTCCGTTCCCCGCAGCACAGCTCTCTGGATTGAATGGCCTAAAACCTGTAGGATCAGCAAGAAATTAGCAAGCACGGATGGGAAATTGAGTCCTGTCACTAACTTCGAACAGGCAGCGTAAGATCTTCAGGATAAATGAGAAGGCTTAAGGGAAATGTGGTGCTTAAAGGCCTTTATTACTTACAGTCTGCAGCACTGATCTTGATTAATAGCTCTGTAATGCTAGCAGCACCGTATCCACATCAGAGGGAGCTCCACACACTGCAGCTATGCAGGGCCCTCAGAGCCCACTCTGAGGGGCAAAAAGATAAGATAATTCACGTGGATGTAAAAAAATGGGATGGCAGAAACGGGAACGAGGGCAAAGGTGTTAAAAATGCGTCTGTATTTGATCTGTTTCGGTTAGATCACGCGTGTTGTACATATGGCATCTGTACATATGCTCTATGTTCAGACCTGTTAGCCCAGGTACCTTACTTATGAATGGAGTTGGGTCTGGGGTGTTGGATGTGATGCAGGTTGTGCCTGTCCTTTGGGTGCCACGGTGCAATTTCCCTCACCCAGCAGGACCCTCTGAGGCTGCGAGGTTATCTGACTGCTTGGGCTGTGCCGGCTGTAACTTTGTCATCTACGCTTGCTCTGTCACTCCAAAAAAATCTGCCATTTAGCTGGCAGGAGATGTGAATTTCCCATTCATACCAGCTGGTGACCTTGAACTGAAGATGACCACTCTCCTTACAACCTCAGCATAAATCATAGCAGGACTTTGTGGAAAAAAAACATTATCCTCTTCCCAAGCAGAGGCAGCTGAGCGCTGTGATCCCGAGCTGGCACACAAGCCACATCCAGCTCTGCTTTCCCTGGACACAGCCAACCCAGCTCCTGTGAGATCAATGAGCCAAGTTCTGATCTTGGTTCTATTTGTGGAGTTGTCCCATGTCTGTCCTGAATAAATCAGTCTTACCCTGCTCAGGAAAGCAAGCTAGGTTTTGGTCCTAATTAAGTCAATGGGAATTTTGCCACTGACTGCAGCAGGCTTGGGTTTCATTTGTGCCTTCGGTTTAATTTAACTGTATTCTACTGGAGAAGGCGGTATTGTCTCAAACCTTGTCCCAAATTATTGTCCCAAATTCTTGGCATCATCTAAACCAGGCAGCTCCCATCTAGAGGTGCGCTGCATTTCCCATAAAGGCTGCAGGAATATTCAGTTGGCCGGGATGCTTCCCTCTCACGCTGAATCAACGGCTCTAATTAAGCATGATGACAAAATATGAGGACTTCTATGTAATTATGGCAACGGCACCACCTGCCTCTAATTAAGCTGCCAAAACATTTGGTCTAAAATGGTGCAATGAATAAAGAAAAAAAAAATCATATCCAATATTTTGGCAACGCAACAACAGGCTGGCTTTCCTCACGTAATTAGCTCTAACAAAGTGTTGTTAATCTGATTTCTGATTAATAGGCTATTTAATCTTATTGCAGCCTCACAACACTGAGTTGCCTCTGGTTTAAGTTTTCACCAAAAAAGTAATTTTTTTAAGCAGTTTTAAGGATATATTTCCCTAAGAAGCATTGGAGTTCCTTACCATTTCCATTGTTCTTCATGAGAGCCCCAAAGGTTACATTCTTTGAATTCGCTGAACTTTAAAGCCACTTATTAAATTGGAAGCCAGAGGAAAAGCTAATTTTTTTCCCGTTCCTAATTCCTTGTACAGAGAAGTCACGGGTGTGACTAAGTGGGAGGAGGAGGGATGCCCAGAAACCTTACAAGCTCCGCATGTTTCGGAGCTGCTGGTGGGCTGGCAGAGCTCTGCGGGCTGCGGTGTTGGGTGCTGGTGGTTCCCCCCAAAAGTGCTTCTGGGGCTGGAATTAGTGACAACAAGGAGGGGAATATGATGTGTAACAACAGCAAAGCAGCCCAACCGTTTTTCCAGGACTTGTGTGGCTGTTTGGGTTTCCGAGCTGTTAATGTAACCTGGCATGTTAAATCAGACATGATCATCACTGTACAAGAGCCAAGCGTACCACCAGTACAGATGGGCAGCAGATAATGAAGGCAGCCATGGCACAGCAGCGTACAACTGCTGATCGAACCACGTCGATATATGGGCCTCACCTTTCTGAAAAACAGCTTTTAAATACCAGGATGAAAACAGGTGCCTGTGCTCACTGGAGGTGCTGATTCTTTAAAAACAAGTGTTTAGGCACTTTCTTCTGTCTCGACCTGGCTGCCCTAAATTTTCTTTGGGCATGAGTTTTCCACTGCCTCGTGCCCTCTGTAACAATTGGTGTCTCCGTAAAATGGGTGTAAATAACTTCTGCCAGCCGTGGTGCTCTGTCTGTTCTCTTGCCCTGTCGAGGCTCTTTCCCATAGCAGGCTCTGGGCTGGGTTATCTACTCCCACTCCAAAAAACTCTTGACCAGCTTTAAACTTCAGAGGACTTGCAAGAAGTCCAAGAACTTGCAGCACTCAGCTGGTATTAAAGATGACTTAATTCAAAGGTTTTTTTGCAATTTTCTCAGCCTGAAACGATGCCAGTGGCAGTGTTCCTGTGTTTGGTGTATTGCTGGGGCAGGGGTGAGATTTTAGCATCCGACCAAAGGCTTCCTGGCACAGGTCACTGCCGTAACAGCACAGATGCCTGGACATGAATGCTTTGCCGGTTAGGCAGCCTTTCTGTGTGCTCACGTGCCCCTCAGATTCAGGTGCGGAAGTACATTTGTTATCTCCTGGCTCCCTTTGTGTGAGCAGCGGGTTGGTTATCTACCAAACCTTAACAGATTTGCTAAATAAAACCTGAATTGCCGGGTTGTACCATGGCCCGCCAGCAGAGAGGCAGCAGTGTAAAACACAGCCTCCAGGTTCTGCCCACCAGCACCCCTTGAGACGTCGAGTGCCCTCGAGATAACACCTGCTTTCTGCACGGTTGCGTGATAAGAAGAAAAGCTGAGGGTCAGAGGTCTCGTTTCATGCCGATAGAGTGCGTGGATCCAAATCCCACTGCAGCGAGCACCCCACGTGCTGCCAGCACAGCGGGGTAGCCGGTCGCTCGCTCACCGTACACTGGGACTCAGCCGGGGTCTCTGATAATTCCCAAATCCTGCCAAAACCCCACCCTGCCCCTGCAAACCACCAGCAACAAGCCTTCGGTGGCCTCACCTTGCTTACACATCAGAGTGGCAGATGAAATGTTATGACTTTTTTTTTTTTCTGCACTATCTTGTTTATTAAATATGTTTTCCTATGCAGATTTGGGAATGCCCTGTGTTTACTTCTAAGCGTGCTTGGTAAGATTTGTTTTCCTAAGAGCTGATCCAGGAACTGAACAAATGAGCTCCTGAGCTGTCTGTAGAAGGAGATGGTTGGGGTCAGCTTAATGTGTGCCATGATTAAAGTACACACTGCTGGGTAAATACAGGGAGGAATTATGTACTATTTGACTAGCTGCTAATTATGGTGAGCTCTTCCCAACTGCACTTCCTTTACAAAAGATGAAAGTCAGATCCCTCAAAATACTCGTATTTAGTGCCTTTGGAGAAAATGGTCTGGTAAATAAAACAAGTATTACTGCTCCAGTTTGTATCATGCTGCTTTTGCATGCTAATCTGAAGCTCCCCTGAGATAATTTGACAAGAAGGCCATTAATGCAAATTTAAGCATGACCTAGAAAGGATTTATTTTCCATGTACCACTTTGTTTCTTTGCTATTGTTATTTGTTTTTCTTTATTTTAAACTGTCTGGTGTTTTGGGGTCGATGTTCCTTGTTTTGCTTTCCTCCTTTAATTTTATCTCATGGCCATAGTAGCGTAAATCACCCCAAAAGAACTTTGTTTGCTTTCAAATGAAATGCAAGAGTGAGATATGAGAATGTTGCATGTAAAGAAGAGAGTCGATGTGGCAAACGCTAGGTATAGTTTGGAAAAAATCTATCTTTGTAAGAAATTTGGAAAAGTTTACATTTAATTTATATTCTTTACTAGAGAAATTGTGTGCAAATTTGCATTATAGATGCCTGCACTTTTCCTATAGATTTGGGGAACCCTGCATTGTCCAACAGTGCCAACTGACTGGTAGAATTAAGGAAATAATAACAACTCCCGATTAAACGTTCTTTTTTTCAATCATTCAAATTTAATTTCTTTAATTTCTAGGGATTTCGTAGGTTTTTGTGGTCCGTAGTTGTGATGTTCGTGTGGGGCGTCCAATGTAAAAGCAGGCAAGGAACAGAATCATCCACTCGAGGATCTCAGCGCTTTGGAGTCTGCCTACATGTTGTGAAGAGCAAAGAGCCGCCGTCACTGCCTCTCTTCGGCCTCCTGCAGGTCCCTTTAGGTCTGTGACTATTTTGGCCTCTGCGCCCATGCACTTTTCCCCCTTGGACTGCTGATGGCAGAAGAAGAAGGGTAACTTTCCTTTCGGCTCCTGAGCAAGCAGCAGGGCTTATTGCCGATGGTGGCACCGAGCAGCACACGAGGTGCACCCCGGCTGCTTCAGGGCTGCTTCTTATCTCCCCTTCCAGCTCCGTACGGCCGCTTTACGGACAGCCGAAGGGAACACGAAATGCTTCATCTGCAGCAGTCCTGAGGCAGCGGGACGTCGAGTGGCTCGAGGTTACAGGGGTGATAGAGTGGCCGAGGGCGATCGGGGTGTGAGTCCCAGCGGGGTCTGAGCGGTGCCGCCAGCGCTGCTGCTGCTCGCCTGGGAGCAGCGCCGGCAGCGACGGCCGCCGTTCGCTGACATCCTGCCAGCATCTGCTGCTGGAAAACACGTCTCGTGTCCAGCCCGCTTGACCCCCTGTCGGAGTAACTTGTTTTGCCATTTGTCACTGCCAAATGTTTCTTTATTCCGCCTCAGTCACTTGGTTTGCCACTCATTTGACTCCCTGCATAATTAACTTTGCCAGCCAATTGACTCGCTGTGTAATTATCTTTGCCAGTCACTTTGGTCTCGGCGTATTAATCACGGTGTCTAACGGGCCTCGGGGCAGGCTGCAGCACCGGGATGGCAGCAGGTGCCGGCCCTGGCGCCCGCGGGTGCTGCCGGGCTTGGGGGGAAGAGCCCCAGGGCTGCCCATGTGGCCGGGGCAGCTGCGGGGCCGTGCCGCCACGTGCTGCTTCTCCTCCCTGACCCGAATTTAACTCCACTTCCCAGCAGTGCCTCCCTCCGGCCCTGCCCCCCCTTGTTTAATTGCTCTTGTTTCATTATCGTGTCCGTCCGCCTTTGTCAGCTCCTCTGATAACGCTCCACGTGCGCTCCACCGCGCTCCCTCTGCGGACCGAGCGCAGCCCACCTGCAAGGCGTCCACAAATTCTTTGTTCGACTTCAACCGAGGGGCTGTTTGTGCAGGATGCCTCAGAAAAATCGTCTGACTTAGAGTGACAAGTGTGAAGAGCAGTTGCAGACAGTTTATACATCCTCCTCATGGAAAATAAACCCGTTAGTGTACGCCATATGCTACAACGAAGTGGCTCGTGGCCACGCAGCTGAAACGCCCGAGCCTTTCCTTGACTCTTTGTCTGCTCGTCTATTTATCTTCCGAGCAGGAGCCCCGACCAGCTGACACTTCTCCTTCTGTCCTGTTTGCCAAATAGCTGTGGACTTTTTAAATAACGTAGACAAAAGGGCTGAATGTTATCAGGAATAAATAACGTAATGCCCAGATTTATCATTTAATCGCAGAATAATGTACTTGGAAAATGAGTTTGCCTGCCCACCATTCAGAGTGGTTTGTTTTCCTCCTTTGGCACACTTTGCCTTTAAAATCTTCCTCGTCTGTGCTTTGTTCTGCTGCTTCTGCCCAACTTCAGCCCTAGCCCCTTTATCGCTTAATGAAATTTTGCACAACTTCGTTCCCTGTTGGATACACTTCAGCTCTAAAAATACAATCCAGCACCAAAACTATGGAGACTTCCAATCTAATTTTCCCTGGTAGTGTTTTCTAGTTTGACTGGACAGATACAACCTATTGCTAGGATTTTGGCCTCTCTGTATCCTTTTATATTGACTGGTTATTTCATAGTCCAGTTACCCTCGTTGCTTAGAGGACCTATAACAAACTCTTCTAAAGAGCTGTTTAACACCTCCCACTGCTCGATATTTTCCATGTGAATGTAACCAACAATGTCTTATTTATCCAAAGTGTCAAGGAAGATAAATCCCCAGGCGTATCAGTTATAATGACATGAGTCTATCCTGTGCAATGGAGCGTGTTATTTCACCAAATTTTGGCGGAGGAAGCCCCACGACAGGAGCCTGGCAGCTTGTGTGGTTCGGATGGCACCGGTGCCAGCCTGCATGGATGGGGCTGTGCTGCGATGCTCAGCACAGGCTTGCCCCCAGCTCGACCATGGGTCGACGTGGCACGGCGCTGGGAATGACCGGTGTGAGTCTTTTGTTCGTGCGGAGAGGAGGCAAGTGTTCCCCCGCCTCCCAGCTCGTCTTTTGGTCTCCAGCTTTTACGTTCTCTCATGTGTTCCTTGGAGAGCCTGAATTATTGTTGGTAGTGGTTTTGTTTTGCAAGAGTCCGAGCTCTTTGGCTGACTAACGTAGACAAATCATCTGTCCTGGCTTGGGTTTCCCATAACTTCCGCATAACAAAAGGAGAAGGAGTGATCCCATCTCAGCTGTCCTGCGCTCTCACGCCTGCACTTCGCTCTGGGGCGAGATAAGGTTGCTCTGCTGGGAGGAGATCTGAAGTGCACAATCTGGAGTTTTTCTTCAGATATTTAATAACTTTTTCTTCAGAAAAAGGAGTTCGTGTGTGAAGTACAACTGCTGGTGTGCTGGGTTTTGTTGTTTTTGCTGAAGTGTCTCTGCTCGGCCTCTCCCAGCAGCTCTGAGCTGCAGCAAACCCACTCGGCAGGGCAGCGAGGGCTGGTTCTGGCTGGTGGGGGCCGTGGGGCTGCTGAAACGCCATTTCTGCACAGGAAGTGACAGGTCTGGGCTGGATTCCTCGGCCTGACATTTAAGAGCAAGTATCCGTGGTGGTTTGGCTGGGGTTGTTGTTTTGGACAAGGCTCAGGTCAGTGGGGATGTGCTAACGCAGCCTGGTGTGCAGCCTGCGCTCTCGGGGAGCATCTGGGGAGAAGGGGACAGCTTTGCATTTTTCCCAGGTCAGTTCCTGCCTTTTTGGACAAAAAGACTCTATGCACGGGGAACTTTGGCAGAGAGGAGAAAGAAACACAGTCCTCGCAAAGAGCTCTAGCTAAAGATTAACCTTGCTGACTAATTGAATGCTGGCAATGAAAGATGTTAAAACAAATACACTAGAGAAATGGTCTGGGTTTTTTTTCTTCTCTCCATCTGCTGATGGAAGGCTGTCTTGCCACCTGTCTGGGACAGCATCTTTGGATATTAAATAAACCCGGTCTCCTTCTGTGATACAGTACAGAGAAGTTAATTCGGCTCTATTAGAGAAATCTGCAACGTAAAGCAAGCCAGTAACAGCGCTGAGTGTCCTTCAAGTATTTCACACCCACCCAGTACACGGAGATAACAATGTTTACTATCGCTTGTAAGTGCAGCTCTGTGGATGACCAAACCAGAAAGTAATGAAATGCAGCTGTCTGCAGTTCTGTTTTCTCCTGTATTTGTTCATCTTTCTGTAAAAGAGCCTAAGGTCTGCGATCCCCTCCTGTGGGAAAAGCAGGAGCAGGTTCCCTGCCTGGGGAGCTCTGGGGGCACGGAGAGCTGCTGCCAGCAGATTTCAGCCTCTGCGAAGGAGTAGGTTGGTTGGGGGATCCTAGTTTAGCCTCTGTACTGTTGTCTGAACCTCTGAAACATCCCTCTAGGAAAAAATGTTACCCTAAGTGGTCCCACACTCCAAACTCGGTGCAAGATCCCTCGAGCAGAGCTGATGTGCAGTGATGATGGATTCCCTGAAACATGGGAGGAAAAAGAGGCAACGGAGGAGGAAGGGGGACAGGGATGCTGATAGAAATTGCTGGCCTTTTCAGACCTCTCTCTATTATTGCAAAGATGAGCTTGCTATAAACTCCTCAATAGACAGCCAGCAGCTGAGATGCGAGAGAATGGGGCCTAAGACAGTTTTCTATTATCTGGGAGATTTCTGTCTTAATAGAAGCTTTCAGAGGCAGCACAAGAGTTGAGCTATAAAATTATGCCCCCGTAGGAACAGTGTGTTCTGATAGAAAAGGCAAATAAATTGTTGATATTGGACACATGCAGCATTGCTCTGCTGGTTCTGAAGTCGCACAGACTACACTGCAGATAGCAAGCCTAAATGTCTGCTGTGACAAAACTCCGAATCGCGGTCTGTTTTCACTAAGAAAATACTTTGTCCCTGTGGGGGGAGACCTGTTCAAGGTGACTGCTCTGCCCATCCTGCAGGGAGTTTTCTTCTCCTCTGTACCACTGAGCAGCAGCCCTTTCTACTCTTGCACACCCATTTTTCTTGTAATTTTTCTTTTGACAGTATCTATTATCTCAACCCGTAAGTGTGAAATTAATGTTTACATAATTCGAACCAGTTAAAGCTAATTAAAGCAAACTGTCGCCTTCCACTTTGGGCTGCAATGGAGAACAGCCCGTGGCCAGCACACCTGCGTCCACCCACCTGCTGTCACACAGCAGCATTAAATGCCACCAAAGCATAACGCCAGGTTAGCTGAGGCTCCTCAGTGCCCTGGGCCCTGTAATTTCAGTTGTCTGGGCTGAACTCTGCATTCAGAGTGGTTTTTTAGGCCTGAGGTCTATGACATAGATCCTGCACTACTTTATTTACCTTACTACTTTCTTTACTCACCACTTCTGGGTGGTGCCTCCTTCAGGGATGCCAGCCACAGCTTCCATTATTGGCTGCACCGTTGATCATAATTCTGCTTTATTTCCTTTCCTGCCAATGGCAATCACATCGGAGCAATGGATTATTTACCTCCTTTCAGTTTAAATATGATCTATATATTTCAGCCCTGCTTAATAGCTCTCACATTAACGGTGTGTTTCTGTTTGAGGATTTTAATTGAATGTATGTTCCAATAATTCCTACAACAATATTTATTTTTCTGCCAAAAAAAGGTAATTCAATAAAGAGCCTGGCTTCACACTTTATGGCTTTCTAAAGAGAAAGAATCTAATGAACAATTTTTACTGTTACGCTTTTCTCCCTCTGACTTTTTTTTTTTTAAAGAAAAATCTGCAATTAAGGAAGTGTAATTACTTTTCACCTTGTCTTCTGTTTGCTTTTTGCATTCCACTTTTCCCGTGCTTGGATATGAATCATGCTTTACCTCACGACGGGAGAGCCAGGAGCCAGCATGGGTGTGCTGCTTGTTCTGTGTCTGGTCGGTATTTTTGGGAGACATTCGGCTGCTGTAAATCAGCAAAGGAGTCAATGAAACCGAGTCGGTTGAAACAAGTGGTGGATGTGACCCTTGGTCGTCTGTAAGGGAAGGTCCTTGGCCCTACCCCCTTTAAAAAAATCTGACTTAAAACAAAAAAAAAAAACAAGACTGTCAGTCAAACATACTATTTCTTCTCTTGGCGAGGGTTTGCTCTTTGAGGCTTTTTTCCTCCTCGTAGGAATGCAGGTGATAGAATTCAGATAAAAACCCGATAGCTAGGAAAGACCCTTCAGCAAAATATTTGTCCAGTAGTGTTACAACTTGCCCCTGGATAATGAGTTAGATCACCTTTATCATTTTCTTGCAACTCTCACACAATTAAGCAGCCAACTCCGGCATTCACCGAAACTTTCTGATGATTATCAGCCTAAATCTGCTCCCACTGACGATAAATTTTACACTGGTGGAGGAGTGGGCTTTGGCCTGTCTCTGGGAGGTTGCCTGCCTACTTTCGGTGCTCCTTTTGAAACCTCCTGCCCTATCAATGGAGCAACAACTTTGTAGGCTCAGCTGAGCTTTCCCTTGAACCTGCTCTCTAATTAACCACTGCTTTAAGTTCTTATCAGCAGATTAGCTTGCTGCAGAAACATCCAGCATTTCCATAGCTTCTCAAGTCACATAGGAACGCGGCTTCTGTCATCTTGCCACAACCTTGGTGTTGCTCATCATGTCAGCTGAAGTCTTAGAAGTTTTCCAGACCTTTTAATCTTTGCTTCTCGCTTAATGCTGTTCCTTTCAAATAGATGTCATTCCACCCACAGTTTGCCCCGTGGGGATCTAAAGCAAGCTGGGTTGAGCAAAGCCCCATTTCACACACCAAGGAGAGCACGAGAAAGATAAGGGTCTAAATATAAGCTTCTGTTTAGGAGGGCAATAAAGCCTGCACTTAATCCATTCCTGTTGTAATAATTGGTGTTACGAGAGCTAGAGAAACTCCAGCCTATTTGTACTCGATGTAGTACAAATATGTTACGAAAAAGAATTGTTGTGTCCTGAAAGACTGCATAGCAAAGGAAGAATAAAGTCAGCAGGGAGAGCCGAGCAGCAGCCGGGAGCACGGGAAACATGACAAAACTTTTATCTACAGAGGAGCTCACTGGCCAAAACAAATTACCTGCTGAACAGTGCTGTGATTTCTGTGGGCACTGTGGCATATCCTCAGCCCAGAGCACATGTTGAAGTCTAATTGAAGAAATTAAAGTTCAGTGTGTTTCAGTGCTCTGCTGAATCAGGTCCGTAGTGCTGCCACCAGCCAGTTCCACACTGGATGGAGATGAGCTAACGTGGCTGATACCATGAAGTTCCTTAGCGGCTCCCAAATTGGGTACGTTGTGTCCTGCCAGAAGAACTGAAGCCCCTTTCTGTACTCTGCTTTTCAGCTCCGATTAAACCATCTCAACATACATTCCCGAGGCCACTGATGTAATTGATTCCTTCCAGAGAAAACACGATGTAGAGCAACACTGCCAGGAAATGGGAGCCCTCACACTCGGAGCCTGTATTTATTGTAAATATCCTGACTGACGGCTTTTGTGCGGTGGTTTGAGAAGAAGCATGTTGTTGTCACCCTCTTCAACTGCACCATTGTCTAAGTCTGGAAAGAAACTGGGATCTCATCTATGGAGAAGAAAAATCTATCTTAGAGAAAGAGATGAAATCCAGCAAGGGCAAAAATAGCCTGAAAACGGGCTTGCAGTGTGAAAGTAAGTTTCCTGAAGGTCTTGTCAAAATAATCTGCATCAACAAAGGGCTACTAAGTGCTATGGCATTTGAGCTTTTTTTTTTTTTTGCTTTTTTTTTTTTTCTGTAATAGTAGATTCAGTGTGTCAATACTCATTTCCCAAAAGTGATGCCCTCCCTGACCTATGGTTGCAACGTGCCCCTCTGCCCCCTGCTTCAAACAAAACCAGCAGCTTCACAGCTCTCTGGAAGGAGCCGGCTCACCTCACTTCAAGGCATTTCCCAGAAGCAGCAAAACGCGAGGGGAATTTTGCGACTAACTTTGGAGTGTTTGTGCTAGCACTCCACCACAGCCACAGCAAGGGCTTGAGAGCCCTTCTGCTGGGCTCAACAAGCCCCTTGTCTCAGCGCTGCAGATGTGTAAAGCTCCTTTATGAATTAAGCAGCTAAAACACATACAGAAGAAGCAGCTAGTTTGTTGGCGTGCTGATAGTGGTAAATGTCATTATGCTGGTAAGCACCAAAGGTCCTGAGCTTGGACCAGGGCTCTCACCAGCTGAAAGCCATCAGTGACTGCAGGCTTAGGCCCTCGGGCAGGCCAGCACTGACTGGACCCCTGCCAGGTCTCAGCTACTGTCAGGACCAAAAATATGAAGTCCAACATTTCTCAGGTCAAACTTACCACGCACTGCACAGCCGGTCCCAATGTATGCTGCGCCCACATCATGGATGGGGTTCTTCTTGGGTGTACACATGCTTGATCCCTGCAGGTAGAGCCAGCATCTGGACTGCTAGGACCTGTGTCAACCCTCTGCCTCGAGCGGTGATTTACTGCTTTGCTACATCTGCAGCGTGGTGGTGCTGCTTCTGCCTCCGCAGCTCTCTGCTTCTGGGTGGCAAGTTTTCACCCAGCAAAAGAGAAAGAAACAAGAAAAGCAGTAATGCAAGAGAGTGGCAGGAGAGAATTTCTGATCAACTCTTTTTCATAGATTACATTTTTATTTGAGAACATACCAATTCCAGTTTTCATAACAACGCATTTTCCCTGACAGGTGCTTATTTCATTTCATATAGTTGTCTAAGTAGTTATCACGTCTCTAATGTTTCCAGCCAGAAACTACTCCCCAGTGTGCCAGATCCAGACCTTCCAGTAATTTGTGTATGTAAATTCAGGTTATTATTATGTTCACATGTAATACTACAGGTAACAAAATGAAAGAGCAGGTACAAATTATCTGCCCAGAAATCTGCATAAAACATCCACATATGGAAAACGAATGTTTCTTGTTTGTATAAATGTCTGAACACAGTAAGATCTGTCAGTCATTCTCACTTGCACCCATACAGATCAGAAGCATGTCATAGCATTTGAGTCCTAGCATCATCTTCCAGTGGTCCATAAAGTATGATTGCTGCTAGAAGCCGATCAGAATTCAGAACTGTACAATCAGCTCGGCCACTGTGGATCTAAAATGTCCGTTTTTTTTTTTCCTGCTATGAATTTTTCTCATTTAACAGTCAACTAAACTATAGTGATTTGGGAATTAGCAGTTGAGGACTGTTCAGCACTTCATGATGCTTAATGCAATTAGCAAAGTTAATAAAATGTTGGACAGGTGCCTCATACCAGGGGAAAAAAGGCATTGCTCTTATTTGTTCAGGATCAAACAGTTACGTTATCTTGTTTTCTTTAAGAAAACATGCATTCTTGAAACGGAATACAATAAAGACCCAAATCAGTGACTGACCTGTTATTGGCTGACTTCTACAGTGAGCTTCCCTGTTTTTTTAATTCTAGAAGACCTTCAGAAAACAACATGGAAATTGCAGAGGGGCACAGGTGCAAAAGGTACAGTGAAACAGGCAAAGCCTGAAGATAACTACCCTGGAATATCTAAGGAACAAGTTGAAGCCAGCTCTGAACCACCTACTTTTAGTAATGGCTGGAGGATGGGAGATGTAACAGAGTGGAACAAATTCACTATTCCTTCTGTTTTTTGACAAAGCTTAGAAGTCATACTGCTTAACAGCTTAACACCACATAGTAGAAAACTGAGTCAATGAGAGACAGGTGAGAGCTACTGATCTGCAGAACTGTGAGGAAGAGAAGACAGTCCTGCTCCTGCTGAAAGGTCCAAGAGGCATAAGAAAAACAAGGATGTTGTCAATAAGGTAAGCATGCTCGTCTACTTGTATGCTCACTCAAGAGTGCATAAACTGGAAGAATTCCCAGTTCAGGGTGAATGTTTTCCAGTGCCTGTCCTGTAAGAAAGACTAAACTATGTCTTCCATGTAATAACTTTGAAGCTATTTATGTGTTGGTTTTAGATGGAGATTAGGAAGCCTGACTGAGAGCTTGTAGGTTATAATGGGTTTTTAAAATCAAAAAGTTAAAGTTTAAAGAAAAGAATTTAAGTGAAAGATCATGGAGTCAGTCTGCCAGGCTGCCTGCCCTTCTGGTTCAAGCCATACTTGTTTCAGGTTGTGTTGATTTCGTGTTTCCCTCACCTCTTCTGTATTTATATCCTTCTAAGGAAAAGATTCTACCATGGCTGAGCTTCTTCATCCCTCCCTGCCTCCTTAGCTATCCACTGCAGTCACATCTGTGCTCAGGGAATACGCATAGCTGCCTCTGACGTTGTGCCTTCCCTGTGGCTTTGCTCTCTGGGGATCCTCAACAGAAAGCAGGAATATGAAAAATAGTGGCTGAAAGACAAAACATCTCTTACATATCTGTGATCATGTAAGCTTCTCTGACTTCTGAGCAGCCATGGAGGTATTAGAGGGTGAGCAAAAACCCAAAGGTGCCAAGTCAAGGGCAAAACAAGGGCAAACCATTCCACGCATGCCTTGTGCAACAGCCCCCATCTGCAGAGCAGAGTTGCAAAAACAAGAGCTGTTTTTGCTGTTCCTGCTGAAGAAAAGGCAGAGATCCTTGTGCAGAGGGCTGGTGCCTGTGTGGGCAATTCAGACTTGTCTCTAGCTGTCTTTAAGCTGGGCCTGCAGAGCTGCTCCCTTGGAGCTGAGTTTGCCCATCTGGATGGCAATTTGTTCCAGAGGGAAAACCCGCGTGTGGGCAGGCATGGGCTTGAGGTCAGAATTAATGGCACAAAATTGATGCAGCCCCAGTCTCTGGGCAGAGCTACCCCTTCTACCCTGTGCATTGGCACAAAACTGTTCTTAATCCGCAGGTGTCACGTTGGTGGTGCTGGTAAACATGAAGTGGGAAAGTGACTAGCATTGTGGGCTTGGACTGTAATGGGGTCTGTGCTCAGAAGGACTGTAGTCGATTGCCTTCACTTAAACGAACAAAACCGGGCTGATGGAAGATGCTGGGCTCTGCAAGCAGAGCACGCAGGACGTGGGCTCTTGGATGTGGGGTGCCCACTTCCAGCCTGCTTTCTGTGTTACCACATGGGAACGTTCAGCCCCTTAGACACCACCTGGGCTGGCACACGGAGAGAGGTACAGATGTGGCTCCCCTCTGCCACCCTGGGCTAGGAGAGTTCCCTAATCCTGCTTATCCGAGGTCTTTATGCTCCTCACAGTGCCCGAGTGTCAGCAGGCACGGTCCGGCCATGTTCCAGCTTTGAGTCATCGCAGAAAAGCAGTCTGCTCCGGGGCCTGTAGTGACTGGAAATCGTAACCTTGAGTTGGCTGCTCGTCATCTGCGCGATGATTTTGTGGGCTTGATCCATTCTCCCCACATCCAAGCACGAAACGCCTGCACACCTGGCTTGTGTTAGCGTGTCCTCACTGGCAACCGCTCCAAAGGCAAACGGAACTGGGAAGAAGCAGAGCAGCTTACCTGGCCCACGGAGAGCACAGGTAGAACAAGAAGCAAATGAGGCTCCTGTCATCCTGCAGGGACATCCTCTGTGGCCATCCTAAGGTGGGGCTGCGCTTCAAAAGCCTTCCCCAGCATTTAGGGTGACCTCTGCCTTGGAAAACTGCGATGTCGCATCCTCCCTTTCAACCCGTGCCGCGGTCATTTTGCTTCCTAGGGACACGTGCTTTCAGAAACAAGCAGATAAACACCTCCCTGCAGCTTCACCCTTGCTCTGACGGCTCTGCGGGACCCCAGCCCGGCTGCACCTGCCCCCTCCCGAGCCCCCTCCCCTCCGCCGGGCGCATCCCGGGCGCTGCGGGCAGGCGGCGCTCTGCGGCCGGGCTGCGCTCTGGGGCTCCGGGGCGGCGCGGCGAGCTCCGCTCTTCCTCCTCCTCCTCCTCCTCCTCCGTCTCCTGCTTCTCCTCCTTCTCCTCCTCCTCGGCGGCGGGCAGATGCGGCGGATCGCGGGGCGGCTCCGGCCCGCAGCGGGCTCCCGTCCCCCCGCCGCCCCCATGGACGGCAGCGGGGGCAGCGCGTAGCTGGGTGAGTGCCCCCAGCCCGGGGTCCCTCCCCGCACTCCTCCTCCTCCTCCTCTTCCTCCTCCTTTCCCCCTCCAGGTAAAACCCCACCCGGCTCTGCCCCCTGCTCCCCCCCTCTCCCCGGTTGTTTTGGGGCTGGGGGCTCCGGGGGCGACCCCCGGTCCTTCTGCCCCCAGCCCGGGGCTGGCTGGGCTCCCAGATCCCGGCTTCGGGCTCGGACTTTGCCGGTGTCGGTCTCCGAGTTCTTTTCTTGCAGCCGAATTTAATTTAAACGGAGTCTTCTGCTGTAAGAGAAGCTCGGGGGAAAATGTCAGTTTGTGGATTGTTTTCTTTCCCTTGGATCTAAAGATGCCTCTCTGTATATCCGCTCGTGATCTCTTCTCGTGAAATAATTTTGCAGCGTTTTGTTTGCTCCTGGAATTTAACAGCCCTCCGAGACAGACAGGTTTGGTGGAGGCTGAAATAATCAGCTCCGAGGCACGGGCAGTGCCCTTGGCCGTAACAGGTGCAGTGTGCATATTGCTATGAACAATGAGGTGGTTTCAGCGCTCAGGTTTATTTGTATGCTCTGCATTTCTGGGGCTCTGAAGAAATTGTCATGCTACGTTATGTCAAAGATGCGCTTGCAGCATGAGCGTGTCCGTAGTACCTCATTAACAGGGCATGGGAGCAGCTGCACAGCCCCTGTCCGTGCCGGCCAAAACTACCCGGGGTGTCCCTGGGTGACACCAAATAGCTCGGGGGGTTTGGGTGGCCTCTGTGCGGACCCACGCCAGCCCCTCAGCGGTGCTCTGGCACAGCATAAAACACCGAGGAGAGGGAAAAGAGGAGCGTGGAGGAGGAGCTGTTTGTGTCTGGATTGCATTCCTTGGGCTGGATGGTCCTCGTGGTCCTTTGCTGCAGTTTCACTTGTGTTCCACGGCTGAGATTTCCTGGGCAGGTACTTCATGCTTCAAAAGATTGTTTTTGTTTTAGCAGCTCCGCGGGCTCTTTGTCTGAGACAACAATCCAGAGTGACAACGTGTCGGTAATTACTTAATGGCAGTCGTTCTGGACTTAGGTCAGAGGGAAATGAGACTGGAAGTTAATTGCTGCTCCTGAGCCCATGCAGCACGGAAGGTCAGTTCCAGTGAGCCTGCCCCGTGTCGGGCTCCTGCTGCAGGATAACCACAGCCGGTGGCACCTCCTGCCTGGCCATGGCTATGCGGGAACGATGCGATGTGCCTTGCCTCTGCTTCCCGGGATTCTTCAAGTCCTGCTTACTTTGGTGGGGACTGGGAGGTGGAGGACTGCCTGTGTAGGATGGGGAAGGACCGGGTAAAGGGTGAGGATGGGCATGTGTTCGTTTGTTATTCTCATGCTCTTTCTGGATTGCAAGAAATGGTAGAGGAAAGGATGAGTCCAGGTTCTAGCCAGGGAGAGGTGCCTGGCTGTGAAGGTCTGTTGGAGTTGTCCTCCTGGGTGATTCTGGAGGCACAGAACAAAGCAGAGGCACTCAGTGATATCCTGCTGGTCTTAGCTTATTGTCAGAGATGCTCTGAGAGTACACAGGTTTGTGGTTATGCCTTGCAACCTACCCCATCATGAGAGACAGGGCTTCTTAGGGAACATGCTGAGAAAGTCCCAGTGGTGTCTCCTGGGGCATTTGGCCCTCTCCAGAAGGTTTCCCTGGTGGGGAGGTCTGCCAGCTCATGCTGATGAGGTGCAATGACTGCATTTTGTGGTGTTCTGTAGAACCTGCAAACCTTAGGACAGCAAAGTGCCTTGCAGAGGAGGAGGAACAAACCCAGTGTTTCTGCTCCTGGGGTAACTTCCCTTGGACTTCCCGCAGCCCCACGGAGCGATGTCATTCTGTCCCCTGTGGTTTTTGGTTTATGGCAGGTGGAGGTAGGAACAAGCTGATGTCTCCTCTGAAGCACAGTGTTTTGTATAGTCCTAGTTCAGCCAACCAAGGGAGATAATTACCTGGTTAACCCTTTGTAAAATGTGACTAATGTAGTTAACAAACCCTGGTTTGTTCAGGTAATGTGGTGTGTCTCTTAGAAAACAGCGCGCTTCACAAAAATTCATTAGTTGAGATGAAAACGTTTCTATTATAGCATCAAGTCAACTTCAGGTAATGATGTTCAGGTGAAAGGATTTTAAGTGTTATTTAATCAAGCTTGGGGACAATAATCTTAAAGGATTCTTTAAAAAAAGGCCTTTGAAATAATGAAGAACCTTATTTAGCATCTTGGGTGATTTAGACTGAGAGAGTGATTTGTCCTTTTCACATCGCTGGCGAAGCGTGATGTTGCTGTGAGTAAGCTGGGTAATGTTTACGGATCTGTTAGAGCAATCAGGCTCTGGATAGTGGTCCTTTAATTGCCTGCGGCTTTTCTTGCTATATATGCTTGTTGAGCAGAGTTTTGAAAATCATCTCTGGAAGCCAGCTCCTTGTGCGTGCTCCTGACACCGATCGGGTCAGGGCTGTGTCCGTGCTGTAGCTGTGAACGTGGCCTGAAGCACTTCTTGCTCTCTGGTGGTGCATCCATGCAACCAGGTGGAGCTCAGCTCACCTGATGCCATGGGTACCTTCTCTTGCTGGCCAGATTCACCCCTGCAAAAGCAAAGCAGTGCTGTGTCCTTGCTGAGTGACTTGAGGCACCTGCAGGAGCCAAGGTGGGGCTGATGCAAGAGGACGGGCTGCTGGACACCCCAGTCAGCAGGTGTAGGACACTCGTAGCCCCAAGGGATTAGGCCAGGAGTTTAGCAGGAGGTAAAAATGAGTTAGAAGTTCTGGATACGCTGATCTCTCTCATCTT